CATACATGCATACATACATGCATACGCACATGCTTGCATACGTACACGCATGGTACTTACATACATGCATAAATACAATGTAGGATCGCATGTACATATATATATATACACATTATATTTACATGTATGTTCTTAAGACCCAGAACTTCAACACATCCTTAAGCACTGCAGAGCTGCCCCCTGGCGCCCAAGGCCACACCAAAGCTCAGTGCCCGGCCACCTCGTGCTGTCCGTCAGCATCCATCAGCGACGAGACCCGGCCGAGCAGAACCTAGAGTGTATACACATGTGTGTCCCTAAGGGTCCATGCGCCCAAATAGTATATACATTGGCCTTAAAGTAGTCCCTATATACGTACTTTGGGGCCATTGTATATACTATATGAGTACATGGACCCTTAGGGTGTATATATATATATATATATGTAAAGACAGTACAATGCACTCCTTGATATGTAACTATGGCTGCACGCATGCGCATATCTTTATCTGCATAAAGATACAGATAGCGCCATATATATATGTAGAAATGTATACATGTATGTATATAAGTATGTACATAGGTACGTATATCCACGCACGTCGGCATCTATATCTATCTATCTGTGTGCATATGGCATATATTTACATATATATATATATATGTATACACACATACACATACACATGCGCATACACATACACATACACATACACGTACACATGCACATGCACATGCACATGCACATACACACAATGTACATCTAGTATGTACATATATACCTGCATACCTCTATACGTATATACACATTTAGTACAGTACATGCTGCACGTTTACTATGTATGGTATCTGCGTGTTGCTGCATGTAGATATACATATATATATATATACATATATATATATATATACATATATATATATATATGTACACACACACACGGTTTTGTGGCTCAGGATTCGCGGCCCACTCCGATCCAATCTCGCAAAGGCCATGTACTTAGAGGGCGGCGGTCTTTTGGGTGCTTGAAGGTTCAACAATGCTTGCATACCCCGAGAAACAGTACCCCCGAACCTAGTGCAGAAGCATCATGGACCCGTGCAGAAAGACTAAAATTGTCGTCGTCCTATAGAGCAATGGTAGGCTTCCGTTGCCTGCTTCAGACTAGCTTCATCCTTAAGATAGACGTGACCATGAGTGCTACAAGACATACCATGTTGATTGCGATTGTTATTGGCATTCTCTCTTCCGCACAGCAGGTTCCTGAGCCTTTGTATGTCCGCTGGGCTCGTCGTCTAAACTCTCATCTCTCCCCGGTGGAGCCTGCGATGTCGGCAGTCATACCTTATCTCCGGGCAGCGGGGACGTAGCGGGGAGAGGGGTTGGGCGGAAATTTGTGTTGCGACCGCCGATGCGTAAGCGAAGTCTATATGGTGCACAATCGTGGCTTGGGCCGGTGAATGAGGTTGGAGGGGGAGGGCTGGGCTGGGCCGGGGAAGCTAGAGCGAATAAAACTCAACCCCGATACTTCACTTTAAGGCAGAAACATGGTTTTTGACAGGAATCCGGAGCAACAAAAAAAATTAAAGTTGCAGAGTCGAGCGGTGTGTTCATGCCGAAGCCCCCCCAAGTGTTGTATTGATGCCGTGCGCTTCTCGGGACAGATGCTCCCCATTCCTGAAGCCATAAGCCGGAAACTCTGCGACAGAATCCATATTTATCGGACCCTCAAATTCCCTGTACCCTGAACCCCAAACTCTAAACCCTAAACCCTAAACGTTTTTCTATGGACCGCCGAACCTCGACCCTCTTTAGGTGTGTAACTGCCCCGTCAGGTGCTCCGTAAAAAAAGTGTAAGTCGGGCGGTTTAGGGTTTAGGGTTTAGGGTTCAAGGTCTATAGCAGGGCTCCACCGTCTAAACCCCATATACAGACTTGGCGGATGAGATCCGATTCCCCATACCCGAAAGATCATTCCCCAAAACTCCCAGTGGCTGCGCACGGAATCCCGCATCACCTTGACAGACCTTTTTTGCTGCGTGGCACTTAAAAATGCGCGTAAACTGGTGTGGAGGTCTTGAGACCTTGAACAAAGGTCTTTCTGTTGCTGACGCCCCCTAGCCTGAGAGATGGCGCACTCCGACTTGTGGCTACACCCGGATGTTGCTGACACCTACCTAAACCCACCAGAACCCTACTTTTTTGTAGGGTCCTTATAAATCCCATATTACGGTTCAGAATAAGAACCTACAAAAAAGAAGTGGGCTTTGGTAGGGTAGGTAAACCCCTAAACCCGATAAAACCCCGCAGAGATTTGGAGCTCTTGGGAACCCTACTTGGAGGATCATGGGACTTAGTAAGTAAGGCTCCTTACTTGGAGGATCATGGGACTTCGTAAGTAAGGTTATAAGTACCTTAGTTGGGGTTATAAGTGGTTATAAGTGTAGTTACCCTAATTATAACCCGAGTTGCTAAGTCCCATGAGCCTTTAAATACACCCATAACCCAAAACCCTAGAGCCGAGCCAAATGCCCCCAAAATTCGAGACCAACGCCCTCAAGCGACCCGAAACCCTGATAGGGTTTTGGGTTCAGGTGTTTAGGGTTTAGGGGTTTACCCTAAGAGCCCCAATAAACCCTAATATGGGATTTATAGGGACCCTACAAAAAAGTAGGTTTTGGGTTCTTCAGGTAGGGTATAATCCTGGAACAGAAAACCCGAAAGCCTTAATCTAAGTTGGAGCAACCTGTATATAGGCCTTCGTAATCATCCCTGAAAGGAAATCTATACCATTTGTTATTACAGCCTGTGTTAAAACCCCAACACCCCTAGAATGTCAAGGCGAAGCTCGTCGTGATGATGTCTACGCACGCCTCTTGGTCAGATATTTCCGGGGTAAGGGTTTGGTGTTTAGGGTTCTGCTTTTGGCCAGGAACAAGACAAATCACAAGTCCAAGAGACGAACTGTGAGTTCATTCCGACACCCTCTAGTTAATGGAACTCCTGTGAATTGATACTTTGTGCTTCTGCAAGGCACAGATCAACAAAGCCAAAGTACAGGTGACTTGGCGAGTGAGCTGGCGAGACAGGAGAACGATTCTCTTGGAGGGCTCGGCAGCGCAATCTTGTCGGCTGCCGACGTCCTGGGTGAGCAAATATAGGGGGCGTAGCCCTAAACCCTAAACCCTTAACCCTAAATCCTAAGCCCAGCAGCTATGTAGAATTCGGTTTGGGGGCAAAGTAGTGTGTTGTTGCGTAGGGATTGGACGAAGTATCCGTGCGCCCGCATGCTGCGCCCGGCACTTCGCCTCGAACAGCGCGATGTGCTTCTGAGTCGCTCTGCTTGGGCTGGTTGCCAACTGTAGGGTACAGGTTTAAGGTTTAGGGTTTAGGGTTTAGGGTTTAGGGTTTTGGGTTTAGGGTTTACATCTCAAGCCCCAAGCCCCAAATCCCAAAACCCCGAAACCCCAGACCACTAAACCCCCGAGCCCCGCAGTGGAATAGTTGGGGTTGGGGTTCAGGGCTTCTGATTCAGGATATGGTCTTCACATTTGGCGACTGTATCTGCACGCTGTAGGAGACTCGAAACAGCTTGTGCTTGGTTGCAAGAAGGCCAAGGCACCACAGTTTGAGCCTGCGATTGGATCGAGCAATCTTGGCTTGTGCAGTGGAGTGGCCATCCCAACAGCGCTTGGCCAAAGCAAGGTCTGCAGTGCCATAGTCGCACTGAAATGTCGCACTGAAACCAACGTCTCGAGCCAGAGACTAAGCATTCGCTTCATCACCTTGTCGCGAATGCTCAAGTTGAGTGCTTCTCTGGCCGGATCAAAAAAAGGCAGCGGTGCAGAAAACGGAGTTTTCTAACCCTAAACCCTAAACCCTAAACCCTAAACCCTAAACCCTAAACCCTAAACCCTAACAGGGCCTTAACGGTGTTCCTATTGTGCGCATCAGACCCCCGGTATCTCCGAGACCATTTTTCGGGGAACCTCGGAGTCTTGGGTTGTCGGCTGGCATGGGACCACAACGGCGATGGTTGACGTTAGGGTTTAGGGTCTAGGGTCTAGGGTTTAGGGTTTAGGGTTTAGGGTTTAGGGTTGAGGGTTTAGGGTTAAGGGTTTAGGGTCTAGGGTTTAGGACGGCTCGTGTTGCAGTTTGGGCTCGGGCGCCACCAGCTCTTATGTCTGGACATTGCTTTCCCTAAGGCTCCATGTGCCCATATAGTAGATACTTAGGCCTTAAAGTACCTATATAGGGACCTCTTTAAGCCCTAAGTATCTACTATAAAGGTACATGGAGCCTTTGGGTTTGGTTTGCAAGGATCTCCAAGTTTGGGAAGCGCCCTCTGGCCCTAGGTATTCTGAGCCGAGACGGAACAAGGTCTGGGTTCTTAGGGTTTTGTGAAACGTAGGCCATTTTGTCATTTAAAGTGCCCTCAACCCTAAACCCTAAAACCTAAACCCTAAACCCTAAACCCTAAACCCTAAACCCTAAACCCTAAGCCCAAAGCTGCTCTGCAAGCAGGGAAAAACCGAGCCTCAACTGTCAGAGGAAGCTTCGATCGGCTGAAAGGCCCGACCCTCCGAGTCCATGCGAATCCCAACCCAGACCCCCAAAAGGATCTAAAAAATAGATCCCCTAATTAGGGACCCTAACTACTAAAGGGTACTTTATAGGAACCCCCTTAGGGGATCTATTTTTTAGATCCTTTTGGGCCCCAGGCGAATTGCAAGACCAGCAAAACCTCCAGAGGCCACGCGCTTCCAAAATTCAGTAGTAGAGGGGCTAGAAGAACACTGGTATTCCTTACGGGCCCCTGCGTATACCCCCAGAGCCATATTCCATCTTTTGAGGCCCTAAGCCCTAAGCCCTAATAGCTCAATTCCTGATGCCCCAAACCCTAAACCCGAAATACTTGAAATCCCTTAAACCCTAAGCTCTAAACCCTAAACCCTAAACCCTAAACCCTAAACCCTGATGCCCTAAACCCCCAAAATTAGGGGGTTCTTCCGTTTCTCGCCGCGAGGAGTGCGATGACATGGCAGAGGAAGAGTTCCAGCAGCAGGCTCTTGGACAGTAATTTGGTGAGGGTTTAAGGGTTTAGGGTTGCGGGTTTAGAGTTTAGGGTTTAGGGTTTAGGGTTTAGGGTTCAGGGTTTAGAGTTTAGGGTTTAGGGTTTAGAGTTTAGGGTTGCGGGTTTAGGGTTTAGGGGGCCCTGCGACGACGTAATTTGGGTTTAGGGCAATGTATTCGGGTACAAGGCTTTGGGGTTTTGGGTATTAGGGCACAAGGGTTTAGGGCTTAGTGTATTCGGCATTCGGGCAGTAGGGCATTAGGATATTAGAGCATTTCGGTATTGGGTCGTAGGGCTTCGGGTTGAGTGCTCAGGGGTTAGGAGTTAGGAGCTTCGGTGTTAGCAGTACAGGCCCTGACTAGTAAATCCGTATGTCAAGCACCCTTGTATAGCTGGGGTTGTAGACGAAAGGAGTCCGAATGTTTCTCGGACGTGCTTTAGCCTGGGACCCTAAACCCAAAACCCTAAACCCTGGGAGGTATCATGGTGTTACAAGGTCAGAGACGAGAGGCTTCGGAAGGAATGGAGTTTCCATGCTGTAAAGGGCTTTCGAATTCAATTTCTCGATTCACTGAGGCCGGGCTGCGGAGGTGCCCTGCAGGTGAGGCCCTTGAAGCATTGAATCCGAATTCGCAGTACAGGCTGAAGCTATCTTCCAGAATCAAGCATGCTCCTTCTACTCCCCGTGGCTCGCTGCCTAAACCCTAAACCCTAAAGACAGACGACTTGCTATTCGGGTTGAACTGAGCGCCGCTAGCTCTTACGTCTAACGGCAGCAGCTGAACCCCCCTTAAAACCCCTAACTGGACGCATACCTTAAGAACCCAACACCTACTCTTTTGTAGGGTCCCTATAGATCCCATATTAGGGTTTATAATAAGAACCTACGAAAAAGTGGGTTTTGGGTTCTTAAGGTAAACCTTCAACCCAAAACGCGTAAACTCAAACACCGAAATCCGTATCATAGAACCCGTATAGAGCCCCAACGGAACCATTACCGCCTGCTTGTGGGTGGTTCTCTAAATTAGGGTCCCTTTTAGGGTCCTTTTTTATAAGGGTGCCGTACTATATTGGGGACCCAAAAAGGGGCCCTAATTTAGAAAACTACCCTTGTGTAGCCTTCTGCCGTGTGGCCTGTGAGTTCTTGGCTTCTTCAATTTTCTTGGGCTTTAGGGTTTAGGGTTTCAAGGTGCTTCATTCGTGAAATGTCAAAGCCCCAGCAGCTACGGGGTTTACTGTCAGAGTGTTTGCATGTTTTTGGTTTGTGGGTGTTGTGAGATCGTTTTCGTTGCGGGATGCCTTTTTGCTTGCACTCCATCGGGAGTAGAGCCACTGTTGCCGCCAAGGTAGAGGAGTTGCGCAAGAAACAGGCGCAAAGCAGCGTGATTCGTGGAATTCTTGGACTTAGGAACCCAAAAAGCACATAAGCATAAGCATGTTGTAGGGATATCCCTACCTTATTGGGCTTCACTATACGGGGGTTTATATGGGATATCCCTATCCTATTGTTTGCTT